CACAGCTTGGAGTTGGTACACAGGTTTCAGTGGCCGTGTAGGAAAGCAGCCATTCAGGTGCAAGCTGACTGTGATTTTTTACAGATATGAAGGGCTATAACATGCTTTTGTAATTTGAGGGGATATTCAGGAATGTGTATACATTCCCCTCTCTTGATATATATTGATACATATCTTACAGAAGAACTCTTGGAATACACAGTATTTGGATCTGTAAAACGTTCATGACTGGCTCTCTGATAGTACCAGCTGGCAATCTAGGGTTTCGTATATTTTATTTCAAACCTCAGTAGCAAAAATATATGATTAACCCTGATAATCCATTTCAGCATCAAAGTAGTCAACAGACTATGAGAGAAAGCACATGTGCAGGCTGCTGTACTTTCAATAATACTGTGATTTTCCTAGCAGTGTAGGAATGTTACATTAAAATGCCGCATTGCTGCCTGTACTCTGTTTTAGGCAACTGCCTTTTTTTGGCATACAGAGAAAAAGTGAAATCTGACTGGTAGTGTCTCAGATGCTGAGCATGAGTGAGACCTGGCTTAATTTTTCAGATGCAGGGTGGATTTGTAGGAACTACTACTTTGGGGGGGGAACCAACAAAAAAAAGCCCAAATAAATGAATGTCACTTCTTTTTCTTCTAAATTAAGAGAGTGCAAGGAAGTAAACTGTGGAACTTTAAACTACCTCTTGCTGATGTTTGTCAGAATAATCATACCTTACAGGGTGGTATCAATCCTGTGTTCAAAACTGCCATTTTTACATGCCTGATAAGTCATCATATATTTATTTTTTCTCCTTACGCTACTATACTGCTGTTCCCTGTGGGCTTGTTACAGCTTGTTTCTTCTGGAAATGGAGCAATATGGTCCTCTGTTCTAAGTCACATACAGTGATAACAGGAATAGTACCTGTGTGTTTTGGCTTTCACTTGGACTGCTGTTTGGGATGAGTATGTTAAGGAATTTTAGTCTACAGACAAGGGGTCTTTTCCCTTGGTAGTAGATAAATGGTGCTATGAGACAGCTGTCAAAATGGGGAGAAAAACAGTGATATTATCCCAAAGCCTGTCTGAAAAGAGATGTGATTTTTGGTCTTCAGCATGCCTTGTTCTACCTGGTTTTGGCTTCACTTCTTTTGGGGAAGAAACAACAGATGGTAGCATTACCACATGCCTTTAGCACTCCCAAAAAAGATAACACTAACAGTAAACAGGGCAGATCTGTGGATCCTCCCTCTTATTTTTGTGCACAGGAGGCAGTTAACAATGTCAACATTTAAATGACTGTTAGTAGATGTGGGTTAACACCTTTCCTGGCTTTTAGTTGACCTTATTTTCAATGAAGGACAGTGTACTTCACCACCACAAGAGCAACTAGGTACAGGATTACATGGGAGTTGAAGCACTGTTGGTTTTTACTCCCTGTAGGTGGTCAGCATCAACTTCAGGAAAAAAATATATGATTAACCCCAATAATCCCCTTCAAGATCAAAGCTTTAATTAAAATCCAAGTGGAGATGGGATAGAGGATCTCTCTTGATGTAAAAATGTGCTTTATGGGAGTGGAAGCATCACATAGACTTATTTACATCCTCTTCACTTTTCATTAACACGCAAAGTAGACCAGTCTTATTATTTATTTATAATATAAGCTGTGGTGCTGCATTGCACAGAGAGTATCTTCACAGGGTTAAGTTTGCGTTCTGACTCCTTTTGAGCTGTGGCTTTGCAGTGCTGGTTTGACCACGCAGGGTCATTCCAGGTGTGGAATGATAAGTAACCAGCAGCTGCATATAGGCCAAGAAAATGCTGAAGTTTGTCATAATATGAGGCAAATGTGTGAATGTCTAAATACAGGCAAAGACATCAGTGTTTAGACTGAGAATGGACAAAGAGAGTTGTCATGCTATTGCTCAGTGGAGTCTTCACTTCAGAACGGTGACATTAATTCCAGTCTTGATGTGAGATAGTCAATTGATGGTAAAGCAAAGTGTAAATGTAAGGTTATTCTATATATAACTGATTTGCTCTTCAAGTGTTCTATACAGTAATGCCAAAAGTATGCTTGCACTTTATTCGTACATGACAGGGGTACCTGTGTGTGTACTTCTGTGCACACATAAGCATAGATACAAATACCATGTAGTCATGAATATATAAGTACACAGGAAAAAAAGCTAAGTTCAGTGTAAACGTGATGACTGAGGAATTCTTAAGTGTAATATTCCTTATAAAAATAATGAAAACCCGGCATCCCTAATTTTATAGTAAAAATGGTTCCTACTTCTCTCTAGAAAGACTGTAACAATAGCGATTGCCTTGCTGGTGGTAGCTGCTTTTGAAGAATAACATTGTAGTTCTACAGCTATATGAGAACAGAATAAAGCTGTGGAGAATATAGTGAGCAAAAGACTGATGCAGTTGGAAAGTGTTGCATAAAAATGTCCGTAGGGTTATTGGGTTATTCCCTTGAGCTTGACACCATAATCCATATTTGTAGCATCTTACAGTTTGTTGGGTAGAACATTACAAATCTGATCCACCTCAGTTCAAACAATCTGTGAGATTCCTCAGACCTCCATGTGTGTGCAGTCAGGCACATTGGGTTTGTAGTCAAATAATTGGGTCCTTCCAGAGGCAAAATCAGGCTGAAGAGGCCAAAAAGTAACAGGTCTTCCAAGGAAAATTTGTACGTGTCATCAAGGAAAATCTTAAGGCAGGTGAAAAAAAAAGACCTTACCAGACTGTGTCTTCAAATAATGACAAACAGGAACTATACTGGAAATAGACTTTAAAATACTGATGAAATGTGTTGACTCTTAGTATGCTAACAACCAAACTTCAGACTGGTTTCAAACATAACTTTTAAAAGAGACACCATTTTAGGCTTTCATGTAGCAGGGTAAAATGTGAAAAGAAGATGTCTATGATAGTTTGTGGGATTAACAATGCTTTGTTTTAAGAAAAGGATTAACAGTCTCATAAAAGTTTGAACATTTCAAAAGCTCTCCTGATACCTTCATCTCATTTTTTCCGAGTTACGTGTAACCTTACAAAAAGTTGTGGTTTGGTTTTTTTTAAATTGATTGAGTTTTCAAACAGAATAGTGTGTATTTTCAATATAAGCAAAGAAAGCCCCTCTGAATTTTTACAGTGTTTATATGCACACTTTCTCTTTTGGGGGTTTGCTTTTTCATTTAATGTAAATAGGAAAACACCATAAACTCCATGCATAACTTTCTCATGAGAATGATTCTTCTGAGGGTTTCTCACTGTAAAACCTTCAGCTTCATTTTTAGGTCAAACTCAAACCTCATTACATTTATCGGGTAAAGTCTGAGGGTCCCACCTTGTTTGACAGGCTGCATGACTCAGCACAAGAGCTACATGTGTTTCCACATTCCTAGTAGCTAATCTTCTCTTGCACTTGTATTTTAAAAATAAAAATACTGATTTTTTTTATTCATAAGAATTATTAATACTAATTTGTAAATCAAACCCCTTCTGTTTGTGTTACTTTACTTTTTAATTGTAACATTTAGGCATTTTCCCCTGGGTGTGGGGACACTGAAGCAGCATTGGTTTTTTTGGTTACTAGTGTTGCATAGTATTGCACGGTTTATTGGAGTCTACTATTATGCTTTGGTATCTCTGAAGTACTAGCACTTTTAGCAGGATGCTCATTAGGAACTAATACATTTACACATATATTCCAGGTATGCCTAACCTTTCTAGTCTACAAGCTCTACAGCAATCAGTGTCTTGTGGCAGAGCGTCACAGGGTAGGGACCCCAGAGAGCTGCTGACTACCTGCTTCCCTCAGCTGAGGGTGCGAGTTTCCCCGTTGCCTGTATGTCTGCACACCCCAGTGCTGGGCAGAGGATGTAGCCCTAGTGTGGGAGCTGAGCGGGAACTGTTCACAAGGATCGTATCAGTCAAGAGCCATAGATTACCCCCCCTCATTACTGTATGTCAGTTAGCAGAATAAAACACTCACAACCCAAAGTGAGGAACATGTACGTTAAACTTGTTGTATTAAATGATAGGGGATTTAAACATAGCTTTGTCTTTGCTTGTATAACCATTTCCTCAGTCTCTAGTGTGTATAGCACGGTGTTCCCTGAGACACTGGCCTGTATTCAAAAATGTCAATGCCTACACTTCCTCCCATGTAAGAAAGCAGATAACCACATTGTGAGGAAAGAAGGTAATGTGTGAGTTGTTAAAAATTTAACCTGATGTGTATTTAATGTTAAATCAAAAGCACTGTAGCAGTACTGCGCAAACAGGCCCCTATATTTTTTTTTTTCCAAAGGTTAATTAGTGCTTGATTGAAAAAACTTGGGAAACACTGATTCACATCAGGTGTGTTTGTTAGAAAAAAATTAAGTGATGGGAAATCATACCACAAGAAGAAACAGAAGACCCTTCTTGGCTTCTTGTATAGTCCTCAATAAAGTGTGAGACTTACGACAAAACATAAAAGACTGAGGCAAATTTCAGAGTATACCTTTTCAAAAATCAGGAGGTGTACATTTAAGGTCTGGCTTTCAAGTATTAATTGGGTCTGTATTTTTGCCTCTGTAAACGTCTGATGGAAATCATTGCAGGCATAAGTTTTTGCCAGTCACGTTTAGAAATATTTCAGCCATCTCAGTATCTGATTGGGAGCATACACGTATTTGTCATAAATTGTCCATATGTAGACTGTCCAAAGCTACACTAGCTGTAGTTTGAATCTGCTGATTACAATGAAAAACCAAGGCTGGATACCGGTCATATTCCCTGTTGACAAAGAAGCAAGTTACCGTATGTCAGCTGCTTCACTGCAACTGCTTATATGCCAGGAAGACAATACTTAAAAAATACGTGTTTTATCATAAAAGCTGATACAAGATAAAGCCTCAGGATCAACAGAACTGTAACATGAAGTAAAGCATGGACTTTATTCAGAGGGGTCTAACACTGTTTCTGTCCTTAATGATTTTTTTCAGAATGGCAGAGACTCATGGTTTGATGGAGAGACTGGAGAAAGCAGTGACTCGACTTGAATCATTATTTTCAGGTTCACACAGATCTGGTGGAATGGAGTGTGATGCCATCAATGGAGTCAATGGAAGTAAGTCTGGTTTTTTGAAGTACTATCTCTTAATCCAAAATTGCAAGTAGAGCATGTGTTTGTTTTCTAAGAGGGAGTGCAATCCCACCCCTTATGAATTCTGTATCAAAAGAAAGTAGTATTTTTAAGAACTAAATTAGAAATGTCCTGTGACAAGCTTAGTCATACACGATTCCTTACTCTAGTTCTAAATTAATATAGCCTAGAAAATTCAAGATTTGACCAGTCTCTTAAATATATTGTCCATATTTCAAGCTTTAATACTCCTTCCATTTTAGCATTTATATTGTAGATAACTCACCACATAAAAATGTCTGCTCGAGCTGAATTAGGAGAAGAAATGGGGCATCCTCAAAATTTACAGCATAAGTATTCCTAAAGAAGTCAGCAATATAAACATTGAGTTTATTTGCCAGCTCTCTGAATTTCACAGTGCAGACCTACTTCATTTCATTGTTTAGTATCTTTAATCAAATATGAGTTTGTCATAAGCATTTGCTCACTAAGGGCTGCCACACATCCATGGCCACTTTCCGTTATGTCTAGAGCTCTCCCTTCTCAAGTGGATCTCCAAAGCACTACATTGGAGAATAGACAAAAAAAAAAGTCTTATCTTCATTTAGTCGCATCGTTTCACCAAACCATATTTTTTCACCTTTTAATTTTTCCATTGTTCCTGAAATTTACAGGGTAAATAACCTTATAAATGTGTTCTAACGTTGATTGAACAGAGGTATCCTTCCCTTGTTGTGCTGAACTCACAGCCATGTAGGCCTGTACTGCCAACATTCAAGGCCAGGCTGGACGGGGCTCTGAGCAACCTGATCTAGTGGAAGGTGTCCCTGCTCTCTGCAGCGGGGTTGGACTACATGACCTTTAAAGGTCCCTTCCAACACAAGCCATTCTGTGATTTTCTAGAGCTTGTTTTTTCACCCAGAACCCTGACATACATCCCTTTATTATCTTCTTGGCCTTTGCTTGCTGTATTCCTTGGCCCTTTCCTGCCTTCTCCAGAGAAGAGCATATCCCAGCATGGACTCAGTTGCTGTGTAGGAGCTGGAGAACAAGCAGAAAGTTGCAGGCAGAAGCAAGTCTGTGTACGTCGGCTGCTTAGTTGGCCCCGTATGCCAGCCCTTACCCGACAACATACACGAGGGACCTGCCCCCACAATCACGTGTGCCGTGGGCCTACACACTGGCAGCTGCTGTGGAGCAGGTGACTGACAGCAGGCTGTTTCTATGGCAGGGCAGGAGCATCTTCCAGCAGGTTTCCACAGCAGATGAGTTAGCCAGTCACAGTAAGCTTCAGCAATGAAATGTGAACAGTCCTGAGAAAACCTAGACAGCTGGTAAACCATACCCAAGTTAGGGAGAAACACGATCCTTGTGCAAACTGACAAATAAATTGATCGCTACTGGAAAAATCTACATTTTTAAAAAATACCAGCTTCAAGCCTATAATGAATCCATTTAGGTGATCTCTGTGTTAATCTAGAGGTCAGTATTACAGAGCCAGGGCTGCTTCCAGAGCAGGAGGAGATGAGCTCACCATGTGACGTGCTTCCCTGAAAATTGCTGTATCCTTGGCCTAACCTGAGAGCTCAGTCAGGTGCAAAGATTCACCCCCGGGGAAGCAGAGCCTTAAAACCCCAACAGATCCCTAGCAGAAGTCAGCTGACAAACCTGGTTGGAGTGAGATGATAAAACACACCCGCTGGGAGACTGCAGTAAGAAGCCGAGATGAGCAGCACTGTGGGGGCACTTGGCAGCCTGCACCTCATCTCCAGGCCAGGCTGTCTCACGTGAAGACACAGGAATTAGCTTCTGCTGATGCAGTTAGGAGAGAATGTACAAGGTCTTCAGTTTGGCCGACTGATACATGTGCAGTGCCACGAGCATCACTCTATATGCCTGTGTTACTGTGCTTCTGCAGAGGTTCACATAACCTCCACAGCAACCGCAGCGTTGCCAGTCTTGCAGAACAGGTCTTTTTCTCTCCTTTAAACTGACACTCAGCCAGAGCATGACCTTTTTTAAGTCTCTTGTGGAAACGGAGATATATTGCTTTCTTCTACCATGACCACCTCCCCTAAAAGACCATGCCATAATTAGAATTATTACAAAAAATAACCTTGACTTTTCAATTGATACTTTTTTAGAAACAACAAAATAATGAGGAGAATGGGAGAACTGTACCTTTACTGTTTTCCTAATGGCATTACAACAGCAGGATTGCAAACAAATTGTTCAATCGCTCTGCACGGCCCACAGCAAATTCTAGTAAATGCTCCTGGGAGTTAGCTGTATTGAACAGTGAAAAATAGCGTAGCTGATTCTAGTTTTGCACAGGACAATTGCCATTTGGTGAACTCCTATTTAAAACTCTGCTCTAAAGTAAAAGGTTACAATGATTCTCTTGGACACATACACAGATTTAGACAAAGAACATAAATGGGCTTTGGAAAGCATCTCCACCACTAAACATTAGGTCATTTGAGGGGTTTACACACAAATACTTAATATGGAGCAAAGCCCAGAAATTCCTCAGAATTAAAGGTGAGTGACATCAAGAGAACAAAGGGAGCCTTGAAATCCCGCCTAGCTGGCTAACTACTTTTTTTTTTTTTTCCACACAGGCCATTGCAAACTCCAATTGCCAGAGCCTTTCTTTTTTCTGTCAAGGAGCCAGATGACTCTTGTGGAATAAAGAGGGCTTTCAAGATTATGAATTTGGACACAATTGTCATATAGTGCCAAAGGTTTAAAGCAAACTCTTTGGGGAAAGCCTGGTACCTCTTCAGAACAATCTTCAGGCTCATTAATGAGCGAGAGAGGCTGGGAAGAATTTTAACCTTGGTCTCTCAGATCCTACAGATGCCATAAATTCACATGTGCGTCACTCATGCTGGAGCTGGCAAAGGTTCTGAGGCATAGACAAGACATGAGTATATGTCAGGGAGTAAAAAGAGGGCTGGAAAGCATCCAAGGAAAGATTATTTTTGCTGTCTTTACAGGTACAACATAAAGCCATTTAGAAGCCAGGTGCATAAGAAACTGAGTCTCAACTGCGTTTTCTAATTGTCCACTTCATCAGGAAACTGCTCTGTATACCATACATAAAAGAGCATTTTTATTCTTCCATTAGAATGTAGAGGATATATGTAGTCAGTGGCATATGTCATCTTGAAGACTCATTTGAGCTTCCTTTATCCACTGACAGTTTTGCAAGGTCAGACGACAAAATAAGTAGATTACAAAGCCACATCTCACTGCATAAATCCACTGTAAATCCATTATGAAGACTTATTGGAAACCGAATTGCGTGCTATTAAAAGCCACCAAACAATACAAAGATCTTCAGGAGTGGGTGGGTGGTATAAAAATAGTTGTTCAGTAGAGTGCAGATTCTTTTTCAGCAATAATATTTGTTTTATGTACAGCAGTGGAATTTTGTAAAACAGTCGTACTTATCAGGCCACTAGGCCTTTGAAGAGCTGAGAAATGTTTATTTTAGCACCTGTTAGTGGGAAGACAAAAGTGGCTTCCAACTACATTATACGGAGTAAATTCTCTTCTAGTTCCTAGCCAGGTTCTACCAAGAGCAGGGTTTTTTTCTTTCTAGCTAGGAAAAAATCATTATACGTCCTTTTTTCACTGATTCCACAAATCAATGAATACAGCAGAAATTCACTTACAGTGATTCCCCCTGTTTCTATGGTATTTCTCCTCCATCTGCTACAAAGGAATGCCCTGTGCATTATGTACTTTATGAACCCGTTACAATGAAATACTCTTCTTCTATAGGCATAGCACCATATGTTGAAGCCTTTGATAGGCTGCTGAATGGAAGTGTTGCTGAGTTTCTCCAGTACAGCAAGGTTCTTGAAGGTGACGTGAAGACACATGTGAGTATTTACTCAAATTTTCTCCCCGTGATGTAAGCATACAAGTCTTGGAATCTGTGTGATCAGTCTTGATTGCTGAGTAGAGGAGAATCTTAACAGCAGGACTCTGAATTGCTAGTTCTTGTAGTAGCAATGCCCTGGTGTAAGACAGGGAGGACAGTTGGTTCAGGAATGGAAAAAGGCTGTGTGGATTCATAAAAAGAGACGGCTTCCCTTCTACAGCACCAAAGGTTGAAGACCATAGTATATGAAATACATAAATATTCTCATTCAAAAGCCATTTGAATTTCCCTGTTGGTTGCTAAGCCCTTTGCAGGACAGGAACACAATTAAGAACACGAGTCAATAGAAGAGTAGCAAATAATAGGTGGGTCGGGGCAGTGATAGCTTCTTGTGGTTGTCTTGTGTATCATCATTCCAGTTAACGTAGAGATTTTGTTCTTTTGATTGATTCTTTTTATTATTCACATTTCTTTCACAGCAAACTAAAAAATGAGCATGTAGGGCATTTAAATGACCCATTTTTACTACATATGTCAGAGCTAGGAAGTTCTATGCTATAATTTTCACGATGAGATTACTCTAACATTATAATATCTTGTGATTAGAACTTGCTTCATTTAAGTTTTTAAGCCTATCTTCTCTAAAACTGGTGGTGACAGAATGACAGAGGATGGACTCATCTTACAAACCACTTACCAATATAGATTTGGAAAAAAAAAAACAAACCACACACAAAAGAGCCAAAGCCAGTTTGAGCTGGATCTGAAAGCATGTGAAACTTTTGCCATTTTCTAGTAGATCCATGCCATCGGGCCTTTCTCCATGTGTACATTTCCCAACTCATTGCAGATGCTGCTCTACATAACAAACACTGTAGCCAGAAAAACATGCAGTCCCACAAGCTATTAGGACTTAAGCTGCAAGGCCAGCATAAATATTTTGCAAGACAGCCAAAGTCTACTCACAGAGCAATAGCTCTGGGCTTATTCTGTGAAGTGTGTTTTCTCTGTACTGTTTGTTATATGTTCTTGTTGGTAGGGTAGAGTTTCTGACCTACTTAGGCCTAGAAAACTGGAGGGAGTAAGATCAGGCAATTCTAGAGGATCTTTGTGTTTCTAAGGAAATGCTTCACTTGCTTTTTATGTGAAAAAGCCTTTTCACCTTAACAGTTATACTGTAAGCTACTGTTGATGTACTTTGTTCTTAAAAGAAATTAGAGGAAAATCAATAAACTGGGGTGTGGGGGTGCGTAATATCAACCTAACTGAGCAGAGAGGTGCTCCCTGGAAAGGATCAGTTCTAGCCTTGGTCATTACATTCATTAGACACCATTATTTTGCAGTTGATTTCTCAACAGTCTAGATCAGAGAGACACAGAAATAGCCTTGGTACTAACACTAAGCAGGGAAAAAAAAACACATTTAACATTCTAAATGACTACAACGTTTTTAATATACACTATCTGTAAATGTTTAAATCAGCAAGCGTGTTAATTTATGCATTTGTCACTATTCGATACTCATAACTGAGTCCAGGTAGGAGTTTATTAGTAAGTTATCTGCCAAGTCTGTGGATAGTCCCTACCATATTGTTGATGACAGTGTAACGCAAACTGTGGTAAGGAGTATTTGCTAGGACTATGAGATTAAACATAAACAACTTTCCCTTACATAGAGAAACTGGTGATTCTGGCCGCAGCCTACTAAGTATTCTGAAATCTTAGATTCTGAATTTACAACATGAAGCAGACTGTGGTTGCCTTATGCTCATGCTTATCACTGAAGCAACATCTGTGCTTTACCTTAACAAGTGGAACAAGGAGTATTTTTCTTCGGGGTGTCTTACAGACCATGTGTCCTCAGCATTATACTTGCAGCTGCTGTCTCTTTCACATAATGAGCTGAAGGGAAGGTTGTATTTTATTTCAAAAAACACCTGTTGCCTAGAGAAACCTCACATACCTGACTGACCAGAATGGTAACATGAGAGAAGGAGAGCTAAAGAGAGCGCTATATTATGCTAAAGAAATGAGGGATTTAACATGATGTGTGTTTTGAGCTGATTGCTGTAGGGATTGTGTGGTTTGTATTTCTGGCAAAAGGAAGAATACGGCCATAACGGATATCTGTTGGGGAGCCCCATTCCTATTTTTTCAGCATGCTGTATTATAAGTAGTTTATTGAAAGAGAACAAAATAAAAAAGCACTAATAGCTAGCTCCTGGCTGTGTTAAACACCACAGTGCGGTGGATTTTACAAAGATTAGTTTATCAAAGAAGTGTTCTGCTTAGACTCAATCTTGAGAGCAGCAAATTTTGTATTCAGATTACAGTACATGCAGAGGTGAACCTGTGAGGTTAACTGCATTAAAGAAACTGACCGCTTTTTAAAAGACGGAGAGAATGGCTAGGGTTTTTACTTCGTTTAAAGCAAATTATCCTAATGGCTGAGATGCTTCTCCTGTCCCATCACTGTGGAATAAACATCTGGTGATTATATGGATATTTCTATGACATACAAAGTTCCTTACAGGCACAGATTTTGTGAACCCACTTTCCGCTGTCCATGTCATAACTACAGAGCGTGTGAAGTCAGTGAGAGGGTGAGTACGGCCAGGACTGTTGCCAACCAGCTGTCTTTGGCCTGACATATCAGTGTCTTGGAGGCTGTCACCAACTATTACAGGTTATGACAGCCCTGAAGCTGATTCGGCACGTGTGCCAACACTGAACCATTCTTCTGTCAGAAGGAGGGAAAAGCAGTATAAAATAGACTGTGGGTCTGCAGCATAGGCCGTTCTCTTATGGCCAGCAGATAGGATAAGCACTGGCTGATTGTTGGGTCACAGAGACATCACTTGGCCCAGATGCGTCCAGACCTACAGAAAATGTGCTGAGGATGACAAAGAGCTGCCTGTGGAAGACACAGTCTACCTTCAGATTATGTCCCGGTGAGGAAGCTGGTCAAGCAGGTTTGATGTGCTCTTTGCCCTGTCAGAGCAAAGAAGCAAGATTTTAGAAGGGCAAGAAGCAGGTTTTTGTGATGTGTTTATTATGAGCTTCTTCACATTGTTTGTGTTTGTGTGGTATCTCAAGTGGTGCAATACTTTGGCTTGAGTTTGAATAATGTACCAGATGAGACATAATGATAAGGAGAGAATGTACTAGTTCTACAAGAGAAAGACAGATAACGTAAAATTTCCATATTTTAGTATTTTATGTGGGACAGGGCAGAGGAGAATTACAGCCTTCCTGTCAAACACATAAACTAATCCTTGCCTTTTTTTATTGTTTATTTGTAAAAATCTTTTAACCTCCCAACCCCACCAGTTGAAAGAACAGATTGTCTGAGCGATTCAGTTATGTTCCCTCTTCTCTCATCCAAGCTATTTAGCTTGGAAAAGAAAACTATAGAAATATGGATGCCTTTCCTCTCCTCTCTTCCATCAACTTGGAGCTGCTGAAATGCAGAAGTGAGGCACTCAACCAGCTAAATTGTGGGCTTGGAGCATTTAGAAATTAGAAATCTGTTGTTTAGCTTGCTACTTACTGAGGGAGGGTTTAGATGCAATTAATCACATGTATGACTACTCCAACAAGACAGCACGAAGTAGCAATTCGCAGCACGTTATCCAAGCTGCAAGGGTTCTGCATGTGCATGCACTGATTTGTTATCGTGAGCAGGAGAAGCAGTGTTCACCCCACGAATACTGTTTGTATGCACATACCCACAGGGCATCTTTTCCTTATCTATTACATGAAAGCAGTATCATTCGCCTCTCCTCCTTCCAGGTATAGTCCATGTAAATATGGACTAAAGCAGGAGTTACCTTTTATGAGGTATATATGCACTTTGCAAGTGCAGCTCCGGTTTGGCCTGTCAGTGAAGTTAAAAAAATACTAACTTCCTAATTTTTTCCGAAAAGTAGCTATTATACATAAATAGCTCTATCTTGTCTTTTCTTATGAGAGACGTTGAAAAATTAGTCAATGACTTTCATAGCACAGGATGTGCTGCTGTCTGTGATACACCAAAACCCACTTGTGCACTTTATCTCACCTAATCTAAACACAGACTATCGAACCCATTATTTGACTGATTACTCATTAACAAGGCAATCTGCTTACAGGGCAACAGAATGCACAAGTGTACTCTCGTGTTCATCTTTTGTGCCCAGAGGCTGTGCGATTTTAGGCATTGTGCTGAAAGTTGAATTGGAGCTCAGAGAGGAGGATGATGTCAACATGCCCAAAGAGAAGCCTGCTGTCCGGCTGCCTTTGCATTTCTGTGATAGGTATTTTCTGCTACATGGAATAAACACCAAACCAAGTAGCTACCACAAGACTGGGAAAAGCAGAATACATTAAAAAAAGAAAAAAAAGGCAAACATTTTTTATAGCATACAAAATGCACTCAGCTGAAATAAAGAGACTGAGTGTAGAAAACCATGCTGCTGTCCACCAAAAGTGAAAAAACCCCAAATAATCGTCAACTAAAAAAGCAACCTTAGAAATCTATTGATATTAAAGTTGATTTTGTAATGCTAATTCAGCTATATTTCTCACCCTGTACGTGTACTACAGGATACTTCATAACATAAGCAATAAAGAATGTTTGCTTTAATATGACAAGAAAGATGGAAATGGAACATACACAAAGTAGCAAAGTGGCTAATCCAGAAGTATCATTTGCAAGATCTTTACAATTTTCGATTGCTCTGTTCCAAAGGACGACTTCACTTGTGACCTAGGGATTGGATCTGCCTTTCAAAACAAGCAGGATTTATTGGGTGAGGTGCAGTAGTGTGCAGACATGCACCTCTATGACTGTGAGACACCAGGTTGGGAATAAAGATGGCTCATGAGCATGAAGAACCTGTCCACTGCGAGTCTGGACCAACACCCCCTGAAAGAGTGGGAGTGTTTCTGTTCATTTTGATGGGACCTGGGTCAGGCTGTTGGCTTCTTGACACTGAGACTGCAGTACATACCACTCACT